CTCTGCATTGTTGCACAGGCGGTCTCAGCTGCTGCACAGGTGGTCTCAGCTGTTGCACAGATGGTCTTTGCTGGCGTGTTAACTCTGAGGCTAAGTGGGTGTTTGGGACAATGACAGAACTGAAGATGTTCTGCTGTGCACAGAGCTGTAGAGCTGGCCTTCGCCTCTGCCCACACAGAGGACCAGCTTGATGCTGGCCTGGAGCTAGGAAGCAGCACAAGCAGATGTGTCCAGGCCGGGAGTTCAGGTGACTCCTAAGTCTGGTATTGGCCCATGCTGGGCTCCTTGAGGTCTTGGAGTGCTTAGGAGGGAGGCCTGAAGCCTAGGGGCTTGGTCCAGGTAGGGAGAGATGGCTCTCGTCACACACAAAACACAAAACATTGGGGATGTCAGAGCCATTCCCCAATGCCAAGGAAGCCAGGCGTAGCTTTTGTGGTGCCACATGGAAGAAGGACAGGACCTGGTTCACCCCACCCCAGGTCATCTGCAGATCTAGAAAGCTCTGCAGTGTCCCAGAGCTTCCCTCATCTTAATGTTCACGTTTGTGCCCACCTGTCTGGCTACCTCCGTGAGAGTGTCCATTCAGCCCGTCCAACAGCCCCTCTATAGAGAAGCCTCCTTCCCCTTCTGGGGGGCTGGGAGTGGCCCCCCAGGGTGGGCTCTGTGAGCTCAGTCTGTGCTGTGCCACCAGGACTGTCTGGGCTGACTAACTGCTGAAAGAGCCAGGAGTGGCCCAACATGCCTTCTCTGGGAAGCCCTCCTGCTCAGCCCCACTAGAGGCACAGCATCCCATTGTGTGGTGTTCTGGGGACAAGCCTGCTGTCACTAACTCATGGCCTGGAGACGTTTGCTCTTTAAATGATACATGAAGGCTGCTGAGGTGGCTCGGTAAAGCGCTTGCCTTGCCAGTGTGGGGACCTGATCTTAAGCTCCAGGATTCCTGTACATAGACTGGACACAGTGGCCCAGCTGCAGCCCACACCGGGGAGGCAGAGGCAGGCAGATCCCTGGAGCTCTCTGGGTTTGAGTTTCTGGGCGGTAAGGAACAGCCCATGTGTTGTCGAGTGAGGGTCGAGGCGGCATGCCTGACTGAGGCAGGAGAGTGAAGCAGTGGGCAGAGAGGCCTCGGCACAGGCTGCTCCTGTTCCTGAGGTGGGGCACCAATGGGGCTCAGGTGGGCTCTGTCAGCGCTGTCCCTGAGGTGACTCCTGGTGGTTCTGAGGTTCAGGGCCGCAGATATGCTGGCCTTTCAGAGCGCATCTTCCGTTTCGCAGCTCGGGGGTCGCGCTGGGTAGAAATCAAGGACTCGCTCCTCTCTGGAGGCCCCAGGGTGAGGCGCTTCTCTGGGTTTTTCCTCTTCCTGCAGGGCTGTTTCACATTCCTGAGCACTTGGGCTTCCTTCCATAAGCCAGCAGTGGGCAGTCCGCAACCTCGGACCCCCCTGCCCGTCTCTGTCATAACACTGAACTGGACAGTCCAGGAGAACAACACTTGCCACCTCAGGCACCTTAGTGGGTCACACCTGCCATGCCTCGCCATGTCTGAACAGAGTGCTGCCTCCCAGGGGCTCAGCAGTGGGCACCTTTTCGGCAGTAGCCTGCCTGCTGCAGCGACCTTCAACTCGACCATCTTGTGCTTTAGGTTTTGTTTTGTTTTATCTCTTCAGATGGAGGCAAAGTTGTCACCTTTAGGCTTGTTAGGAGAGTCGGGCTGGTTCATGAACAGCCCGGCTCCTCGGCAGGCCTAGGCTATCCGCTGTGGGTAATTAAAGTTCTGAGATCTTCCCGGAGCTCAGACGTGAACCCATGCGTGGCAGGGCTTGCAGATGGTTTACCCAGGGACAGAAGCTGCACCAGAGAGCCTGGGTGTGGAGATGTGTCGGGGTAAGGGTAGGATCTTGAGAAGAGTGTCTCAGGAAGACAGACCTGGCCATGGTGACTGTTCTGCGTCTGTGGCTGGGATAAAACACTGATGAGGGTTTGTTTCTTCGTTACACAGGGCGGGAAGGTAAGGCAGAGAGCGTGGGGGGTGCCGCTTGCTGGTTTGCACACGGGCCCTGCTTAGCTAGCGCGCTTACATAACCGGGACCCGCACTTGCCCGTGGGATGGTGCCCGCAGTGGGCTGGGCCTCCTCCATCAGCACAGTTCTCCACAGACATGCCCATAGGTCAATCTGATCTTGGCAGCTCCTCAATTGAGGCTTTCCTCTCGTGGCTTGGCTGTGTTAAGTTGGCAATTAAAGCTAATCAGGACAATGGCCTTACAACAGCTGTGTGCCACACGGAGGTAAGGACCCCAGAGCCTGGATTGGCACCTTCCCTGGCTAAGCAGTCCTGTAGGCCAGCCCTGCGTTGATGAAACAGCCCATCACCTCTTTTTTTATGAGAAACTAGAGAATTAATTATAAGTGGCAGGCTGCTTTTCTAATTAAACAGGTTTTCTAGGAGTCTGCAGGTAGGAAGAATATTCACCTGGCTAGAGTCCACTCTCACACACCTCAGAGCAGGCACCAGGAAGGGCCATCCTGGGGTTATGAGAATGGAACTGTATGAAGAGGTGAAGGGAGGCCCTGTGAGCTGGGGCTGCCCCCGGGAGTCACTGTTTGGCAGCCGTGTGGTCAGGGCTGGGCTGGGCTGGCCCACACCGGAGGGTAGCCACTGAGAGTGGTCAGCACAGCCTCTCTCTGGGGTAGAGGGAGGATCTGTGGGTGCAGCTAGGCCCCTGGGGACACCCCAGCCCCTATGAGGCCCACAGTCTCATCCCTACTCCATCTAGCAGAAGCAGGGAAAGACTGGAGGTGAGTCAGAGCTTGTCCAGCCTGAAGCAGCAGTGAAGATAGGCAGGCAGAGTGGAGGATGGCGGTTTGGCTGATTGATCCCTGAGGCCCCACAAAGACACCCAGGACACAGTGCTAGTGTTTGCAGAGACTCTTTCCGGCAAGAAGACAGATGATTGTTATTCAGTGAGGAGCCACAGGCTAAAGGGGGTGTGTGTGGCCTCTGGGGGTGTGAAGTAGCAACAGCCCAGGAGTCAGGGTGGTCTTTGAGGGTGGGAGCTTCCTGCTTAGGGGACTTTTGAAGAGCAATGAGTGCAGGCCAGAGAGGCAGGGGCAGTGGCCGGCAGCACACAGGAGATGCCCCGACCACCATCATCAAATGCCACCAACCTGGCAGGTCAGAAGCACACGGGAAATGCCTCCCTCTAACCTGGCAGGTCACCTCCAGGTATGTGCTTTGAAACTAAAGCCTGGGGAGAGGGAACTTGGGGACCCTGCCCGTCCTCCTGGCCGAAGCGCAGTTTGTAGAGCTGTCTCCCTCCCATGTGGCCAGGAGCAGAAGTCAGCACTAAGGTCTGGAGTGTCTCTTCACAGAGAGCCAGTTTGTCTGGGAGCTGCTAAGGGCTATGGAACAGGGTGGGCTCTGGCAGCAAGTGCCCCGAGGGGCCGGGCTGCTCCCTAGAGAGGCTTGGCACTGAAAGTTGCAGCACTGGGGCTGTCTTCCTGATCTGGCAGCATTTGCTGGCGAGACAACTCCAGGCCCAGCCCCTCAGCAGCTCTGGGGGCTTGGTGGCCTCTCCCATGGATTTGTGCTCCCTCTTTAGCCTCTCCACCCCCTGTGGACGGAACCCTCCCATGGCTTTCCGTGGGTCCCCTAAGGTGGCGTCGTCCTTGGGCCGTCCCGTGGCTCCCTTCCTTAACTCCAGTGCCACGCTCTTCAGTGTGCTCATCATGTGTACCATCCTGACCAACTGTGTGTTCATGGCCCAGCATGACCCTCCGCCTTGGACCAAATATGTTGAGTGAGTACCTCCGAGGCCTTGTCCTCCTGCCCCGTTCCTCCCTCTTCTGTCCCATTCATGGGCCTTGCAGTCGCCTGAGACGAAGGCTGTGCCCACACCTGGAGTCCCACGCTATGGAGAGTGGCCTTTGCCCTCTTGCCGTTCTCACGCAGGCTTGTTCTAAGTTTGTGGCCTGCGCTGTGGAAGCTCTGCAAACTGGCAATGTGGGGAATCTCTGCCCTCCCCCTAAAGAGGGACACGCCAGGCACTGTCTCAAGATTAGTATGCATCCTCTTCATTAACCTCTCCCCGACCCTGACAATGGGGTCAGCACAGCCCCTGTCCCATTTGGCAGATGGGAAGACTGAGAACGGGGCTGACTCGAAGTTGGGTTACATGGCAGCAGGAAGGCAAGGCCAGTTTCCCGCCTGCTTCAGTACTGCGCTGTTGCCTTGGCCCCCTCCAGCCGAGTCCCGCTCCTAAAACCCTCTCAGCTTTAGAACACTGCTTTGTCCCTTCCTGAAGAAATGTTGACTTCCTCCCTGGTCTAAGCACACATGGCGGCCCTCCCCACACTCAGCTCCTGGCTTATGGGAGCCTCTCTCAGAAGAGTAGCTTGTACAGAGGGCCACGGCTGTTGTCACCATGACTGGACCTGGCTGCTCTGAGGACTGTGTTACTGCCCCTCCTGTGGGCCAGCCCTGGCACACAGGCGTTTGGATTTCTCAGGCTGCCATAGTCAGAAAGCACCTACCAGTCCTATACACTAGAAAATCTGTGTTTCCTCCAGCCTGGGGTAGGCAGCTAGAACCCTGGCCATGTAGGAACTTGAGAGTGAGCCTGGTCGCCATTGCTAGTTGCTGAGAACCCACACGCAGGGTGTGGCTCTGGTAAGCTCCGTATGCCTGAGAACACCCTCCCCGCAGGGGTGGAGTGCCGGGTCCATAGAGTCCTTCCGAGAGGGAGAAAGCAGAGAGGTCCGCAAACACATGACCCTCTCTCCATAAAGCAAATGGGCAGGTGGACTTGTCGGCTAGATTTTTGGCGCAGACTGGCAGCCCCTACTAAAGCTTTAGCATGGGGCACAGCCTGTGGTGGTGGCTGGGGGAGAGCTCCTGGGCTCGGTCTGCCGGCCCCAGTGCCCCTGAGAGCCCCTGCTGGCCTCTCCTCCCCAGGTATACCTTCACTGCCATCTACACCTTTGAGTCTCTGGTCAAGATCCTAGCTCGAGGATTCTGCCTGCATGCGTTCACCTTCCTTCGGGACCCGTGGAACTGGCTAGACTTCAGCGTGATAGTCATGGCGTAAGTACCCAGCTCATCCCAGCAGGCGATGTAGGGTGGGGATAGGGTTTTCGTGCCCCTTGTCTCAGACTTTCTGGGCTTCACATAAAGCTACGCATGCTACGGAGGACTACCTGTCTTGTTCTATGGCTAAGGGAAGGCAAGATAGAGACTTATAGCTCATTCGAGTGAGGTGAGGCAGGTCCATCAGGGGGTCAAAGTGCTTGAGCACCGTGGCTCCTCTGGAGACCACAACAGCCCTGCGTTAAAGGAACACCACTAATATTACATATTCTACGTCTTGGTGTTTGGACTAAGATCAAGGGTCTGCTGCAGGCATTTGGAGGCTAAGGCTGAAAGATGGCAGAGTTTGAAGCCAATGGAGGCTGCATAGTGAGTCTGAGGTGAGCCTGCCTTAACACGACCTTACCTCAGAAGATGGGGGAGGGGTGGATTCTGCTTTAGCATCCTCTGTGCTGGCCACCAGGAAGTCCAGCCCCAGTTCCCACTGTGACCAGAGTCCTGGCATCCGAGGTGATTAATAGTGAAACTGCAGTGGAGAGGCCTGGGGACACAGCCAGCTTCCCCTAGAACTTGTGCCAGGAGAACTCCTGCTTGGCACAAGTTCTTAAAACCACTGACCCCGACCGAAGGATCCTCACATGAGCCAAGGAGCCGTGCTAGAGGCAGCCAGCCATTGCCCGATGACATATCATCTATGAGGTACACGCTTCAGACCACAGCCTTGATGTTTTAAGCAAGTTTTCCATCTTCCGTTAAGCCCCATTTGTCATCATCCAGGCCCATGTGCAGCCTCTGGGCCGCAGGTTAGGTGTAGCTCTCAGTCACGCTTTCCCAGCAAAAACATGGTGCTTGGAACAGGACACAGGGAGTCCACCACTCCCTGTGACACCAGGCCTGCCGCAGCCCCAGCTACAGCGTCAGTTCCCTTCCTGGGGGGTGATTGCAGAGCAGTAGGGGTTGGGGTGGGTCCCCACCAGATGTCTTGAACCCGGTGCCTGGCTCTGTTGAGCAGCCAATCAGGGTGGGTCTGCTGTACTGAAGTCCTGGTCAGGAACTGAGCTACCAGACCCTTCCTGTGAGCCAAGAACGCAGCGTGCGCTGAGCTCTGCACCTCAGCCAAGAGCACGCACTGGTTGCTGTGCTCCACTCCCATGCAAGTCCTACCCTGCCCCTGGTACCCAAGAGCTTTGTGGGATCGGAGGCCCTGTTCATTTCCCGCTTTCTGAGCCGTGAGAGAGTGAGATGTAGGTATCTTGAGCTGACTCCAGGCCCCCCATTTCACAGATGGGGAGACAGGGTCCGAGACGGTGCGCCATCCCTGAAGTAGGGATTCAATCCTGGGTAGAGCTGTGTGAGCAGAGAGAAGGATGGCAGGAGTTGAGGAGGTGCAGCTTGGGGGTAGACCGCACTGTGCTCTTAGGTCCTGTAAGGACCAGGCAGGGCGATAACCACTAGGAGAGGTGAGCTGGCAGAGCTGTGAGACGATTGAGCTTCTGTGGGGACCAGAGATGGGAAAGTGTAGACGCAGGGGGTGACTGACCGTGTGCTTTCATAGACAGGGGAGAGAGCAGTGGCTGAGGCCAGCAGGTGAGCAGAGCTGAGGAGCGCTGGTCAGTGCTGGCTGTTTTGAAGATGTGACTGATGGGTGTTGCTTGTAACAGATGGGGGGATGGCAGTACCATTTGTGGAAGGAGAGACCCAGAGGAGGGACCAGCTGAAGGAGAAAGGGAGCCAGAAGCACAGTTGGGATCCCTGAAGTGTGGAGACACAACAGGATCTGGAGCTTGGGGAAGTGATCCAAGGTGGAGGCGTCAGTTAGAAGCCGTTGGGAAATTGAAGACACTGGAAGCAGGATAAGAGACCTAGATCCAAGCACGGCTGTAGAGGACGCTCCCGAGAAGGGGGGTGCGGCTAGAGAGACGGCTCAGCTGCTCAGAGCATTTCCTGCTCTTCAGAAGCCTGGGTTCAGTTCCCAGCACCCGTTCTGGCTCGCAGACAGCTGCAGCCCCGGTCGGGGGAGCCTGGTGCCCTCTCCTGGCCTCCACAGGCCCTGCACACACGTGCCGCACATGCACACGTGCAGGCGCACACGTCCACAGGAAACAAATACTTCTTTAAAGAACAAAGGGATTGGTGCTATGGCTTAGTGGGTAAGAGCACTGGCTGTTCTCCCAGAAGACCTGGGTTCAGTTCCCAGCACTCCCATAATGACTTACGGCTGTCCGTAACTCCAGTTCCAGGGATCTGACATCTTCTCGCCTGTGTGGGTGCCAGGCACGCACATGGTACATGCACATACATTTAGGCTAAACACCCACATACATACAATGAGAAAGGAGAGGCAACGGCACACAGAGACCGGAGGGGACCGGCCAGCAAAGGGAAGGACACCCCAGAGAGCATGCCCAAAGCCAGCAAGGAAGAGCAGTCCAGAACATTCCAGGAGGAAGCTGGCAAAGGCAGACAGACACTGGTGGTCCTGACAAGGGCCCACAGTGGAGCGGGCAGAGACAAGGTGGGAGAAGGAATTGCAGGCATCTAGTTCATAGAGATTCTGTGCAACCAGACAGGAAATGGCAGGGTGCCCAGAGGGAAAGGAGGGTCAAGGAAGGGCTTTCAAAGAAGAGAGGCTGATGGAAATGGCCCTGAAGAGAGGGCCTCTGATTTTGAAGGCAAGGAGGGGGAACCGCAGGAACAAAGCCTTTGCGCTTCCTGAGCGAGGGGGACTCCAGGTGCTGAGGTGGAGCCCTGACCTTCAGCTCTAGTTCTGGCTGGAGATGGAGGTAGATTGTCGGAACTGATGAAGAGAGGAAGAGGAATTTCTCTTCTGATTGCCTCTATTTTCTCTGGGAAACAAGAAGCAGGATCATCAGTGAGAATGGAGTGGGGGGACAAGCCTGGGGCTGGAGCGGAAGAACTTGTCAGACTGGAGGCTGCACTGGCCGTGGGCTAGGGTGCTGTGGCAGGCCAGGCTCTGGCACTGGGATCTTCGTAGAATGCAGGGGGAGCAGTGATCCGCTAAGCATAAAGAGCTTCGGGCAAGAGAGCGGCCAGCATCTGCCTGGGCTTCTCCCAATTTCTGTATCCTGGACCTACAGAAAGTTACCATGGAGATGCCCGTGCACTCAGGAAAGCCATCACCCAGGACCAGCTCTCCCCGAGCTCAGCCCTGGTGTCTAAAGGATGTTCTCTAGGCCTCGTGGTCCTACAGGGTCCTGTCTTGTGAGAGGTCCCCTGCCCCTTTCCTCCATGGGATTCCAAGACCAACCACTCCTACTCAGAACCATAAAGAAAATGGACGTGCTTTCCTAATGAGCCCAGCCACACCTGAGCCAAGAACAGGCATGACAGAGGAGCGACTCTTGGAGAAGCACGACGTTTCTGAGCATCTAGGGCTGCATGGACTGCTGGGATGCCAGCTTTCTGTCACTAGCCAAACCTGCCCTAGAGCTTCGATTGACATCCACTCCACCTTGTGAAAGCCAATCCCACCTCTGAGATGCATTTTCTTATAAGGAAATGGATCCCAGAATGACCAAAGGAGTCTTGGGTGGCACAAAGTTGAATCAAGTGAAACTCACCATCCAACCCTCCTTTTATCTCTGTGGAAACTGAGGTTCAGAGAGAACGTACCCACCCATAATGATCGAGTCAGCAGCTAAGCTGGGACTGAAAACCAGTGTCCCGGATCCTAGCCAGGGATGGATGGGAGAGGCCCCTCCCCAGCTCACACTTCTGGCTGGATTTTCCTTTTACACCCCACCCAGTTTAGAAGCTGGCGCAGGGGGTGCTGGGAACCTTGCCAGGCTCAGATCACAGCCCAACACCCAGATTTCCTTGCCCCCCTCCCAAAAGCTGGGCATTACCTGCCAGTTAACACAGCCTCCCACTGTCTGGGGTTGTTATGGAAACCAAACCTGGAGGGAAAGGAGGGAGGGCACAGAGGAGGGGCCCAGTCGCCACAGGAGCTAACAGCGTGGGCTCCACTGTCTCAGGGCCAGGGTGGGGTGGGAAAAGGCCGACATGTGCCATTCCTCAGAGTCTCTCAGCCCCCAGAAAGCTGCCTGTGGTGCTGGGCTGCTAAGACAGTGTAGAATTCTCGCCACCCTCTGCTTTCTGTGGTAGACCCGTGATCTTACTCAGTTGCCTACCAGCGGCCAGCCACTTGGCCAGCTGAGAGAGAAATAGGCTTGGGGGGGGGGGTGAGTTTTGCCCACTTCTTCCCCCATCTATCCACGTCGCTTCTGAAGCCAACTCTCTGCCATGAAAGTGTCTCTGCTCCGCCACATTCAGGGAGGTGCTCCAAGAGAGGTCTTAGTGAAATCTGGTACCCCCTGGTGAAACCTGGGGTTCCCTGGGGGGAGGTAGCCAAGTAGTGTCTACGTGGAGTGGGACAGCTAGTAACTACCTTGTGACATCATGGTCCTAGACACACCTGCCCTCACTCAGTTCTGGCTCCTCCGAGACTTCCTCCAACCCCAGGCTGGACCTTCAACCCCAGGCTGGACTTCCAACCAAATCCCACCAGCCCCGATGTTTGATTTCCAGCCACATGGCGGCAGCAAGCCTACTGAGGGGCATAGCTGTGCTTCCCCTGTGCTGTCACTAGCCTGTCCTTATCACCTGGGGTCCTGGCTCCGTTGCACTCAGGCTGTCTTCTTGGATCTTTGAAGGCAACATAGGCAGGCCCTTTCCCGAGACCCCAGCAGCCAAACCAGGCTTTCAGGTTTTCAGCCATGGCTTTCAGTCATGTCACCCATGGAATGGCAATGTCGGCAATATTTTAGGCTCAGCAGCCCATCTAGACAAGAGACTGGGAAAAAGAAATGGGGACAGAGGTCTGGGGGATCCGAGCCATCCAGGAGAAGGGAGGAACTCTACAGCTGGAAGAGCTTGTTCTGTGGGCCAGAACCAGGGAGGTGACTTCTGCTCCCCAGTGGATGGCAGAAAGCTGCGTTGGAATTTCTAAATTGAAACAAGCCTAGAGAGTGGAATGGAAACCATGCCACAGAAAGGGCCCTGAGTAGCCAGAAGAAGGAAAGCATTGGGAGTGATGGGTGCCTGAGAAGGGAGCAGACACATGCCCAGGAACCTGTGAAAATGGATTGATCTCAAGAGCCAACAGAGCCAGGCCAAACTGGCCATGCTGGTCCGAAGATAGGGAGTCCCTTGACCACCTTACCTGTAGACACCAGCAGCCCGTGGAGGAGTTCAGAAGCCCTGAGCAGTGTGAACTGAGAGAACTTTGAAGTTCTCAGCAGGTCCAGACTGTTGAGTGGAGTGAATGACTCCGACCCTCACCGAGCAGCGCAGGGCTGACAACCCTGCCTGACACCGGTCAGACACCTGGGCCAGACACACTTGTTAAACATCAGACACCCTGAGTTTGACCTCCTTCGTTAAACATCGCACACCTTCAGCTAAATGTCAGATGTCGTGAATGTAAGGCCTTTGGTTAAATATCACAGGCCACTGGCCACTGTCCCCATAGTCTTGGTCACGTACTTTGCATTCACCTCTCCAATACCTGTGGTCGTGTGGCCTGCCCAGGGCACGCATGACCTTCTCCTGTTCTGCTGGGGCAGATCCATGCCACTTCTCCTGGCAGGTGCCTCCATGCCCACAGAGGTCAGAGATGGAGTGCCGCCCAAGTTCAAGACAGGGGTCTCATAGCTGCTCAGCCCTGCCAAGTGTTCCTCAGCCCAATACAGGACACAGCCCACCACCTCCCTCCCCTCGCTCCACCTGAGGACTGATTTTCCCCGTGAATTCTCAAGCTGTCTCTTGTGAATCACAATCTGTGATTCCTCCCTGCACGGAGGGGGCTGTGATGAGGATGAGCAAGTGGGCAGTGCCCAGAGATCTTGTGGCCTCAACCGAGGCTTCAGTCAGCCAAGAGCACAGTGAAGACAGATGCTGGAAAGTGCAAAGAAGAAGCCCACATACCCCCAGCATTGCCTCCTGGAGCCATTTCCTTCAACACGCTAATGTGTCCCCAGCCTCAGACCTAGTCATGGAGGTTTCTGTTGGGTCCCTAGAGTGCTTGCCTCCTGGCGCCCACTGATCTTGGGACCATCATGGAGGAAGCCATCCGAGAGCCTGCTGCGTGCATCCTTAAGAGTCCTGGGCTGAGGTCATGTGAAAGGAGGAAAGGCCAAAGGAGGGCCCAAGTCTGCCACCTTTACCCTACAATGGGACCAGGAGAAGGGGAGGAGAGGGGGGCAGGCACACTGCAGGAGAAGGGGAGAGGGAGGGGCGGGCACGCTGCTCTCCGCTTTGTAACTCGAGGTAACTGTGGTTTGGTCCCACAGGTATGTATCAGAAAATATAAAGCTAGGCAATTTGTCGGCTCTTCGAACTTTCAGAGTCCTGAGAGCTCTGAAAACTATTTCAGTTATTCCAGGTAAGACCAGGTGTGCCCACCAACCTCAGCCACGAGTGACTCTCTCTTTGTTTCCCGCCCTCCCCTCCTCTGACCCTGTGTCTCCTGTTGGTGTGCTGTCGCTGTGTTGTGTGTGAATCTCCCTTGTTGCAGATACACAACTGAATTTGTGGACCTGGGCAATGTCTCAGCCTTACGCACCTTCCGAGTCCTCCGGGCCCTGAAAACTATATCAGTCATTTCAGGTGAAAAAAATCAGGTTGAACGCCAAGGCTGGAGGGCCCATGCTCCTGGGCCTTGCCAAGGTTGCCTCCCAGAAGGCCCTTCAGATGTGCCTGTCGCCAGAATACCTTTCCCAGAGCTGGGGCAGAGGAAGAATCTTTTCCCTTGGAACCTCAGAATGGGCTCTGGCTGTTCACCCCAGCCAAGCCCACTCTCAGACACCAGGGGCTCAGAACAACCCATGGCAAGGCAGAACTGATTCCCCCATCCTTCCCAAAATGCTCAATTGTTTCTCCAACCTGGGGGAAAAGCTGGGAATCGTGTTACTGGAAGTGATGTGCTCTGATCAGGAAACCAAAAAGGAGTGTGTTTGTGGGAGCCCGGCATACCCTAGCAGTGAGCCTCGTGTCCCAAATGGTGACCCGTGCAAGCCTTGGCCTCGTCTAGTGACACAAAGCGTACTCTGTTGACAGGCACCATCAGATCTTGGCGTCTACCAGCCCTCGCTGCATGGCGCAGTAGAGGTTTAGCAAATCGTGCATGGTAGCCTCGGGAAGAAATCCTCCTTGACAGATGTTGGCAACTGTACCCGGGAAACCTGAGCTCAGACAGCCTCAGCAGGAACCATTTCACTTGTCCCCAGTAGCTGCTCACATTGGCCTGTGCCTGTGCTTTCAGGCCGCAGAGGCAGACAGCGATGCACTAGCCAGCCAGTCTAGCTAGAAATGCTGAACTTCAGGCTCCAAGAGAGACCCTGTCTCAAAACCTAAGGAGCAGAGCACTAGAGGAAGGCAACAGATGGCCTCCACGTATGTAGGTGCCTCAGAGCTGAAGAGCTCCCTCCCTGGGCCAGTGATGGCCTCCACTCCTAGAGGACAGTGCTGGTGACGTCCCTCGAGGCACCAGGAGCCAGAGACCCCCAGCCACTTGTTAATACTTTTATAATCGTGACTCCTGACCACTTTGTATTTAGGCTGACCTAAAACGTCTCTCCTGACCTCAGAACCCACTAGGTGTGTGCACCACATCTTCCCAAATCCCTGCCGTGACTGAGGCGGCCCTCAGTAACTCCCTAGGGCCGCCAGCCGGGTGTAGGTCTGCACTCAGCCCCCTGGGAGGCTGAGCCGGGAGACAGGATGAGCTCGGGTCTGACAGGGACCTTGTCTCACTTTCGGGATACACAAAAGAACTGGGGATGTATAGAAGGCTTGCTTAGGGTGTCCTAGACCCCTGAGTTCAATCCCCTAGTACTACAGAAAGACAAATCAAAGAGGCAGTAACAAGTCCTCTGAGGCCACCTGGCAGCTAAGGAGGCGGCAGAAGGCAGCCCCCAGGGTGGTGGAAGGAAGTGGTGATCGCTGCCTGATGGGTGCTGCCTGCAGGGGTCCTGGGGTGCCTCCAAACACCTGGAGCTTGTTTTAAACCATTCTTGACATAAGTAAACTCTGCCTTTGTTATGAGGGAAGATTTTGAGGTGTGAGTGGCCTTTGAGGCTGTCCCCACAGGCCAGAGCAGGATTGCTTTATCAGTCCCGAATAGAATATTTTGGGCCAAAGATCCTTTAGCCTGACTGTTGGGGTACGTCCAAGGCGGACATCTCAGCTGCAGCCGTCGCCCCCGTCATGTACCTCTGGGATGCATGTCTTCAAGCTAGAGGACCAGACGCACACACATGTCTCCCTGTAGGTGCTCAGAGTTCTCACCTGTACAGAACACGTGGATCCCCCGCCCCTCCCCCACCCACTGGGCAGTTGCCAACATGTGCCAGGATGATTTCCATAGTGTCCCAAGTGCCAGAGCCCTGGGCAGGCAGCAGTGATGGTGTCGCTCTGGGGAGTCTGACCCCTCCCCTCCTTGTCTGCCCATTGCTGCTCTCCTGTCTCCAGGCGTGGACACAACAGTCACAGGTGCTCCTAACACTAACGGGCTGGACAGCGGATGGAGCTTAACCTGAGGTCTGGCCGCTTTGGGGTGGGCCAGGGCCCTGCTGCTGGCAGCGAGCCCCTTGCTCCTGACGCTCTGCTCGCACTTGCCCTAGGATAGTAGCTGAGGGCCGGATGGGCTGTGTGTACACGTGCTTCTCTGTCACCCCGCTGTATGGCCTGGCTTCTGCAAGGAGTTGGACGATGCAACTAACAGATCACAAGCCACTCCGCTTTGGGGACATGGGAGGGATGGAGAGGGCCCCAAGGGTCAGGGCAAATGAGGAAGAGGGGTATAGCTCAACCTAGTCCCTGCCTTCCCCACACCCAGAGCAGGCCCTTAGGACAGCACCCAACCCTGCCAAACCTTCCCCCGGCCCCACAGCTGCACTTTACACTAATCAGCCACAGCCCAAGCCCAGTCCTTGGCTTCCCTAGTCTCCTTCAAATAATTGACCCCCCCCCCATGTCTCCAAGACAGCTGGTCCCAGAGTAGAGCAGGAAGACATCCCACCAGGAGCAGATGTGACTCTACCCATTTCCAGGTCAAACTGAGGCCCCTGCATTGACTTAAAATGAGTCTGGACCTCAGCTTCCTTTGCTGCAGGCTCTATTAAAGAGGCCAGACTGGTACGTCTTGGGACCAGCCATCATGAGACCTGAAGACACTTCCAGCCTCTCTATTTCATATATTCATATATGGGGCTGGTGGGGAGCAAAGATTTCTGAGCCTCTCTGAAAATACAAAGCCGGGCTGGGCCCTTTGCCCTTGATAGTCAGGAGACTCAGCTGAAACAGGACTGTTGGTCCTAAAGGTCCAGAAAGCCTCCTTCACTATGCCCCTGCCGTGTGGCTGGTGTCCCTGTCCCCAGCCCTATCCAGTGCAGGGTTTGGGGGCCAGCGCCCTCTGACAGGCCCAGCCTCCACCCAGAGCGCCTGTGGGTGACCCCACGCCCGGCCTCCCTCTCCCAGGCCTGAAGACAATCGTGGGAGCCCTCATCCAGTCTGTGAAGAAGCTGGCCGATGTGATGGTCCTTACCGTCTTCTGCCTCAGTGTCTTTGCCCTCATCGGCCTGCAGCTCTTCATGGGCAACCTGAGGAATAAGTGTGTTCGGAACTTCACCGAGCTCAATGGCACCAACGGTTCTGTGGAAGCCGACGGCCTGGTCTGGGACTCTTTGGACGTCTACCTCAATAACCCAGGTATGGCCTCACTGTGCCTGCGGAGAGTGCTGGAGGGACAGCAAAGCAGGCTTGCGGTGTGCCCTCCTAGAGAGATGGTGTTTGAAGGCTAGGATGCAGGGCCAGGGAGAAGGTTCAGTCAGGAAACTGCTTGCTATAGCATGAAGACCTGAGCTCCGCTCCCAATGCCCACATTAAAAACCACGTATGATAACACACACCTGTAATCCCAGCACTGGTGAGGTGCGGAAGAGTCAATGTCGACAACTTGCCAAGGGAAAACCATGTCCCAAACAATAAGGTGGATAGAAAATAATTGAGGAAGACAATTGACGTTGACCTCTGACCTTCCATAAGTACACACACACACACACACACACACACACACACACACACACACACAGCTTATAGTTTTGAGATAGGCTGAGTCCAGAGAGCTGGGAATGTCGAGGAGACCAGCTTCCCTGAACCATAGTGAGACTTGATTGGCTCCATCTTGGAGTGAGAACTTTGAACTCATCATCCTTGCTGAGTGTCCTGGCTGCTGCTCCGATGTGTACACACCCCAGAACCATCCAGAAGGCTGCAAGAACCTGACTTGTGTGGTGTGTGCACCCTTCATTTTATCACCTCTCCAGGCTGCTGCTCACCACCTCTCCCAGCAAATGTCATCCATCTAGATCAAAGGAAGACCCTGGGGGCAAAGCCAGATGCCAGCTGCAAGCGTGCAGAGGGCTCTTCTGAAGTCAGGACCTCTCACACACACACACACACACACACACACACACACACACACACACACTAACACCCACAGAAGAGAAGCAGACAAAAGATCAGAGAGTAGATGTGGGTATGGTTCTGTTGTGGCATTTACAGAAATGAATGGCTCCAAACTTTGGTACCAGAATCACTTGGAAGGTTCCAGAAAATGCAGACTGCAGGCCCTGGCCTTCCAAACCCAGTGTAGCACCTGGGAAGCTATAGCTCAACCCATTCCCAGACACTAGTGTCACCCATCAGGACCACACTTAGAGAAATGTTTCCCAAGATGAAGGTGGGTCATGGTGACTGCAGGGCAGGTGGCCTGTGTCTCACCTGCTCTCGACCCAGTCCCATCAGAAACAGACCACAGTGTTGCCATGGTGATCGGCAGGCATCTCTTCCTCCAGTTTGTGTCGTGGCAGTGGGCCACACAATGGCACGGCAGCCAAGTTGGAGCTCTGCCCAGGCCCTGGCCTCCTGGCTCAGGGCCTCTCTTGGCCCTGGTTGGCCCCCTGCGTGGTTTGGAGCTGGGTGCAGAAGCTGCCTTTAGGGACATTGAGCCCTGCCCAGGGCTCCAGGTGTCTTCAGGAACATGTGAGATGCTGGAGGTGGGGAGGATACGGTCAGAGAAAGAGCAGGAGGAGTTCAGAGCAGCAGCCAGGGCCACCGAGTTTGCCAGGCGTATGGTAAGGGTCAGGGCAGAGGCAAGGATGCCTTTTCCAAAACCCAGTGTGAGATGGGCACCCGGAGGCCAGGTCACCCGTGCGGCTCAGGTCCTCGTTTTTTCTTGCAGACAATTACCTGCTCAAGAATGGCACCACTGACGTGTTGCTGTGTGGGAACAGCTCTGATGCCGGGTACGTGGGACAGCCCTCGCCGAGGCTTTGGGTGCCTCACCAGCTGCCGTGTCTGTTGACACCCGAGTCTCAAGATGGTGACACCTTCCCTAGCTTTCTTTCCTGGCCAGAGCCCTGGAGGCTTCTGTACCCTCCCCTGCCACACAAGAAACAGACCAGGCACAGCTCTGAGGGGAGAAATAGGAGAGCCCTAAAGATGGGCTGGGACACGGGGGTCACTTGGGTCCCCTGTGATCCTCACTAGACCTTGATGCCACCTCCGCTCTGCCCTCAAGGTGGGAGTGTGGCCTCAGTCTAGCAGCTGTGCTTTGTTCAAGGCCAACCTGAGCCTGCAGCCTGACAAGCCCCAGGTGGTCATGGTCGTCCAGGACAGGGTGAGGGGTCAGAAGCTCGCCGTGTGGGGAACTGGTCCTGGTGTGAAGTTCTTTCTGGGGCTCACTTCCATCGTGGGAGAGATGTCTGGAATGTCTTGGGTCTGAGGCACCCTTAGGAATATCCTGGCACTTGCCAAGCTTCTCCAACCAGATTTCTCTCTCCTCTCTTCCTCTCTACCCCTCCCCGTACACACACACATACATACACACAAACACACCCTGTCAAGGAGAGAGGCTGAACTGTGTGTGTATGAGTGTATGTGTGAGTGTGTGTATGTGTTAAATGGGCACTTTTCCAGATGTAACCTAGTCCAGCCCTTCACCCGACACCCCCGCCTCTATGTCCACTCAGCCAAGCCTCGCTGGTCCTCTGCTCCCTCTGGGGCTCCCCGTGTGTTCAGCTCCCCACGGAATGTGTTCCTCCTCCCTGGGAGGAGGCAGCGTGAACAGCAGCAGCTTCCAGGAAGGGTGGGTCATGTGGGCAAAGGGGGACCGGATGTGGGCGTAGGAGAGAGGAAGATGGCGACCTGGCCCATCACGAACATGGCAAGAACAAGCTCATGGGGGCAGGACCCAGAAGCCCGGCACTGTGTTGGTGACACAGCCTCCGAGCAGTTGGGCCTAGGCTGGGCTGCCCAGGGAGATGAGCCAGGGTCCCTCCCAGCGTGGGACAGCGTGTATGTGTCTGGCTACAGGACATGTCCTGAGGGCTACCGGTGCCTGAAGGCAGGCGAGAACCCAGACCACGGCTACACCAGCTTCGACTCCTTCGCCTGGGCCTTCCTCGCACTCTTCCGCCTGATGACGCAGGACTGCTGGGAGCGCCTGTACCAACAGGTGCATGGGTGCCTAGGCCAGCAGAGGGGTGTTAGGCGTGGCTGGCCAGGAATGTCCCCAGTAGATTTCCACTGGTGAGGGTTGGGGAGCAGGCTAGTGACTGAGGCCCAGTCCCTTACAGCGGACACTCTGCTCTGTAGACGCAGTATTCCTCCGCCCTGTATCATCTGTAGATTTAACAGTCTCCTGCTAGGTGAGATGTCTCCTCCTGAGTGGGACGCCGTCCTGTGGGTTAGCACGTGACCTTCTACAGGCGGGACATGCTTCTCTCCACCTCCAGGCTTTAGGACACCGAGCCACTGGTGACTTAGAAATGCCATGACTCGGAGCCTCAGTGAGGGTGACCTTTGGCCCCTTGCTCCTCCAGACCCTGAGGTCGGCGGGGAAGGTCTACATGATCTTCTTCATGCTTGTCATCTTTCTGGGCTCCTTCTACCTGGTGAACTTGATCCTGGCTGTGGTGGCCATGGCCTATGAGGAGCAGAACCAAGCCACCATCGCTGAGACAGAAGAGAAGGAGAAGCGCTTCCAGGAGGCCATGGAGATGCTCAAGAAAGAACAGGAGGTGAGTGAGCAGTGCCTGGAGGTGTGGTGCATGCTGGGTAAGGCTGGGAGATGTTGCCTTCTGAGTGGAAGGCAGTGCCCGCTGAGCACGGCGGGCCCGTTGGTGTGGTATGCATTGGGTAAAATTGTTCCATGGGGCCACCGTGAGCTTTAGGTAAAGGTAATGCAAACTGGGTGGGGTGCAGGTCATAGCGTCTCAGTAAACGTGGCCTCTGTGGGCACAGCACGTGTCCATGGAAATAGTTTACTCTGGTCGAGGGACTCTTCCTAATGAGCTAGTGAAGAAAGCCCAAGGCCAGAGACTTTAGCGCTGGCCATTCTGCCCCACACATTCAGCTTCCCTCGTGGGAGCTATCGGAAACTGAAGAGGCTGGGGAAATGGCTCAGTTACTCAAGTGCTTGCCACACAACTGAGGATCTTAGTTCAGTCCCCAGAACTACCATTAAGAAGCACTGTGAGGCTTGTAACTCTTCCACTGGGGAGGTGGGAACAGGCAGATCCTGGGGGTCTCTGGCCAGCTAGCCTAGACTGCCCCAGTGAGTCCTGGGTCCTAGTGAGAAAGGTCTCAGAGACCACGGTGGGTGGCCCTGAGGAATGCCACCTGAGGCTCATCTCTGGCACACACAGTCTGGAGGCATCTGCGTGCTTTGTGCCTCTGTGCTGCTCCCTCCAGTGCCCCCTGGCCAGGAGAAGCTTCTAGAAGGGCCTGTTCTTTTGTTCTGCTATTCCCTCTGTTCCCCAACACCCATCCCTCACCTGTCCCACACCCCTACTTAGCTACTTGTTCTCCCTTCTGGGTTCTTTATCTTTCTCCTAGTATTGTGGATCTGCCTGGGATGAATGGCCTCCATGACACCTTCTTCTGAGTCAGGTCTGAGGTAGCAAACCAAACCATGGAGAGGCACATGGCTCGCCTCAGCCTGAGGCTACCCAAAGTCTCGCCACGTCCAAACACCCCTTCTTCCATCCTTTTTTCCAGGCTCTCACCATCAGGGGGGTGGATACTGTGTCCCGTAGCTCCCTGGAGATGTCTGCTTTGGCCCCAGTAACCAACCATGAGAGAAGGAACAAGAGAAGGAAGCGACTGTCTTCAGGGACAGAGGATGGAGGGGATGACAGGGTCCCCAAGTCTGAATCAGAAGATGGCCCCAGAGCATTGGTAATCCCGATGTGGTTCTGGCCTTTGCAAAACCCATCACGGAGGGCCCCTGGTGTGGTCCCACCCTTAAGCCTGGTCTCCATGAAGGCACCTTGGAACCCCTTTCAGCACTTCCAGTTTCCCGTAGTCATTCTTCAAGTGGAGGAGAGGCAGGGTGGGTTTGTGTGTTAATAATGCTAGTCCCCAAGTATGGGGGCCGGGACTCGGGGTTGGGGCCTGTGGTGTGGTGTGCTGGTCCTACCTCATGCTGCCTAGCCTGGCCCCACCCCTAGGCCCAGAGCGGCTTCAGTCAGGCCCAGAGATGTGTGAAGCCAGTAGAGATCCCGGGAGACCCAGAGGCCACCCCGTCTCTTCCTGAGCACTCACCTCAGCCCACCCAGCTCCCCTGTTGCCAGCAGAAGCCTCAGTGCTCTGAGGAGCAAGCTGTGCTGACGCCATGAGAGGCAGGCTGAAGCATGGGTGGGACCTGTGGGTCACAGACACTCCCTGTGCCCTCAGAATCGACCCAGCCTTGCCCACGGGCTCAGCCGGACATCCATGAGGCCCCGCTCCAGCCGAGGGAGCATCTTCACGTTTCGGAGACGGGACCAGGGCTCCGAGGCGGATTTTGCGGATGATGAAAACAGCACTGCGGGGGAGAGTGAGAGCCACCGCACCTCGCTGCTGGTCCCCTGGCCCCTGCGCCGTCCCAGTGGCCAAGGACAGCTCAGCCCTGGAAACTCAGCTCCTGGTCACGTCCTCAATAGCAAAAGAAATAGCACTGTGGACTGCAACGGGGTGGTTTCCCTGCTGGGGGCAGGTCACGCAGACGCCACCTCCCCGGGGAGCAACCTTCTCCGCCCTATGGTGCTGGACCGCCACCCAGATACGGTGAGCCAGACCCCAGCCTACAAGCACCAGCTCAGAGCCGGCCCAAACCGGTGCTGAGGACCAGGTTCAGAACTCACTGAATGTTGGTCGAGCATCTACTGTGTGCCCCATTCTCAGAATCTCTCTCGTAGTTTCCATGCCAACTGAACAGGCAGACTAGTCAGAGAGAGAGAGAGAGACGGACGTGGTGATGTAGCGATGAGTGAGAGAGGAACCCCCAAAACACGGGCTGGGGGCATCTGAGCAGTGACCACAGAAGAGGCAGGTTGCTTTTACAGCTGGGAGGGCTGGTGTGCAGAGTGGTTAGCACCCAAGCTCCCGACATTAAAACCTAGGCTTGGATTCCAGATGGCAGCTCAGCAGCTGGGTGGCTGTCAGCAGGTGTCTTTACCCCGCTGCACCTCAAGCGTCTCATCTGTGTGGTGGGGGAGAATGAACATGGTTACTGTGGACAAGTCTAAAGACACGCAGGAACGTGACCAGCACTGTCAAAGTGTCATAGTGTCATGCTGTCAACACCAAAGTGTGTCACACATGGCAAAAGTGCAAACAGCCTGGGGAAGAGCAAACCGCTTAGAGGTATTGCCAGCAAGGGGCTAACTATGGAAGGTCTGTCGGGGGCACACTGGTCACAGCCCAGCTGCAGCTCCACCTACAGCGAGCGGCTCAGCAGCCCACTGAGGACAGAGAACAGCACAGGACACTGGGGTGTTGGTCAGGAAAGTGAAGGCGGTGTGAATATGAGGGCATGGTCCACATGGCCACTAGCTGGGGGACTTTCTACGGGTTAATCATCTGGAGCCTCGATTTCCTGCAAAGCAGAAATCAGATTTAACGCGTACGTCAGCAGGTAGTAGGACCACGAGGGTTGAATTGGGTCCAGACTCAGGCCAGATCTGGCCTCTTGAGCTTATTACTGGCTACTGTTACTATGTGTTGTTGACATGAGTGAGCAAAGGCTTCTGGGATGCATTGCCAAGTGTTCAGTTCCTGTATAGGAAGTGAAGGGGAGGAACTTCAAAGCCCATAAGGGCTGCAGAGTCATCTGTGACCTTCAGTACGCGTCACCTGGAGGATGTGGTATCTGGCTTCCAGGCCGGGCTCTGGAGCCCCAGCCTCAGGCAGGCAGAGCACAGCAGCCAGGAGCGCTAATAGAATTTCCTAATCCCATTAGGGAGAAAATCATCTCATTGTGCCGCACATGTCGGGAGGAATCCAAGTTCACACACTTCATTACCGGGAATTCTGACTTCACCCATTCTCACTTCTGCAGGGCCCATTTGTAACTTTAAAGGGATTAGCAGGCCAAGGCGGACTCGTTCCTAAGGTTAAAGGAATTAGCGACCAAGATGGAGACATTTGAAAAGTCAAAGGGATTAGCAGGCAGAAGCCCCTAGGAATGACTGCCCTGCTCCTAGCTGGTCCCCAGCGGTCTACAAACTGAGCCCTGGGTTGGGTACACAGCATTCCAGTCAGCATGGACGAGGGGGGAGGGGACTCTGGTTCTGGAAGGTTCTGAAGGGGCCCGGAGAGCCTGCCTGCCAGGCTGCTGCCGTCGGGCCGTAGCCATGCTGATGGTGTCTTTCTGCTTGCGAGTGCTTGTCGGAAGGCAGTCTGCAAAGCAGTTCATAAACGGGGACCTGCCCGGCCCTTTCCACTCCGCCCAGCCCCAGTGCACTTTAACGGTCCCCAGACCTTCGTCTTGCCTTGATGGCTGAGTCTTTTGTCTTGGAGGTGTTCCCATGGGAGTGTACCAAGTTGGCCTCTCACTGTCTTCATCGGAGGTCAGGGTTAGGCTGTAGCCACGGCTGATTTCGATAAGCTTCCTACTGCTTGATCGTTTTGTTTAGTTATTAGGAATGATAACACCATCTCTCTCTCTCTCTCTCTCTCTCTCTCTCTCTTGCTCTTGCTCTCTTGCTCTCTCTGCATTTTTTGGTATGTATGTAAAAGTATTTATGAAGGTAGCTTGCAAGATAAGGAATCTCGGGACCATTTAAACATTTCTTGGTAATCGGGGCTGAAATTAGATCTCTTCAGCCTCCTGCCCTGATCACAGAGAGCTTTGATTATGGTCACTGGTGCGTGTTCTGATGCTGGGAGAGCCTGTGTGGGTTTGTGCACTGAGAGTAGAGAAGGAAGGAGGTGGTGGCAACGGGGAGGAACGAGGCTGGGGGGGTCGTTAGCTGGAGTAGGGCTGGTTCTCCATGTCCAGCACTCAGCATCCCATTGAGACCTCCATTACAAGTGCTGGCCCTGGCTCCAAACCCCAACACCGGTTGTCCTCTGACCTCCATATGGGCACAGACCCAGGTGAATAAATCAACAAATATCTAAGTGTAGCTTCAAAATGAGAGTGTGAAGCACAAAGAAAGGCTTTCCGTCTGTCTTCTTGAGTGCTCCCCAGCCTGAGCCCCTCCCAGGCTCATGCATGTCTCCTGGTTGCACGCAGACCACGCCCTCAGAAGAGCCAGGTGGGCCGCAGACGCTGACCCCGCAGGCTCCCTGTGCAGATGGTTTTGAGGAGCCCGGGGCCCGGCAGCGGGCACTCAGTGCTGTCAGCGTCCTCACCAGCGCCCTGGAAGGTCAGTGTCCCCTCCCACACTTTCCCAGTTCTGTCTTCTAACTGCTCCCATTCTTGGACCCCCGTGCCCCACCCAGACCTCTCTTCCCCTGGCTGGGACTGTTCTTGCCTGTTCTCTGGTCTCTTCTTTGGTTCTGCTGCTTCCCCAGGAATCCCCACAGCCATCCTGCACTGTCCCGGGTTCTCCCCGCCTCATCTACCCCTCTCCCAACCATACCTCAGTCTGCCTAGAACCACCCTGCCTCCTGCATGCCCTTTCCCTTCTAGTCTGTTCTCAGCCATTGCCATATTCACTCAGACTACTGCAGTAGTCCTATACCCAGTCGGCTGGCCCCACCCTAGCCAACTCTACACAGCTTCCAAGCCAAACTGGGTGCCCTGTCTTATGTCATCCTGTCCCAGATACAGATGCTTGTGTTTTACAGCCTGTGCCAACACCTCTCCCCTCGGCCCTGTGTACCCTCACACCAGACCTTGGCCATTCTGCTCCTTGTCCTCCTTTGCAGCACTGAGCATCCCCACATCCGTGGGAGATGGTGTCTTACTTGAACCTGCATTAGCCCAAATCTGTCACACCCTCATTTCTGTTTTAGTCTCTCTTTGCAGCCCTTTCCTCCCATATTTCTGGAGTAAAGAGCTGAGACCTAGGCCACCCATTTCCCTGGCCTTTCCTCATTATGCTGCTGTCACTTAGCACCCTGCTCTCTCCGCCATGCAAGCCAGACCTTGCTAGAATGTCACCAGATGCAGACAACAAAACTGAGTCAACTCCCTGGCTGTCCCCAGAGCTGGAGGAGTCCCACCGTAAGTGTCCGCCGTGCTGGAACCGCTTTGCCCAGCGCTACCTGATCTGGGAGTGCTGCCCACTCTGGATGTCGCTCAAGCAGAAGGTGAAGTTTGTGGTCATGGACCCCTTTGCCGACCTCACAATCACTATGTGCATCGTGCTCAATACACTGTTCATGGCGCTGGAGCACTACAACATGACGGCCGAGTTCGAGGAGATGCTGCAGGTTGGGAACCTGGTAAGGACTGGCCATCGGCTCTTAACTGGGCATTGCTGAGGGGCATGGCTTTTGTGGGGGAGGGAGGCTGAACGTCAGAGGGGGCTTTGGAAGCCATCACTCACTGGAGACATCCTGGAAGAGGGAGTTCTGGAGTCAGGCTTTAAGGCACAAAGGTGCGCAGATTTGAGTGGGAGACTGGGGTTCAAGCATGTGAACGTGCTCAAAAGTGAGTGGGGGCAAACGAAGCATGTGGAGAGCTCAGACAGCAGTGAGAACATAGCTAAGGAAGGCACATGAAGGAAGGCGTTGCTCTTGCGTAGCAGAGGACTGTGCAAGTGAACATCCAGGGTTGTTGAACCCTGGTGAATGGCTGGGTAGAAAGAAGAAGGGAAGATTAGAGAGATGAGTGGATTATTAGAAGATGTAGTGAGAGATAAAGGAATGGATGATCAAATAAAGACTAGAAGAAAATAGAGTTGATGGATAGATGGTGGGTGTATAAGTGTGAAGGAGGAATGAGAGACAATAGGTGGGTGGATGATGGATTGACCAATGGATGGAAGGATGGATGGATGGGAGGATGTGTGGGTGGATGAATGGATGATGAATGGGAAGTTGTGTGGATGGATAGATGAGAGGATGTGTGTGTGGATGGATGGACGAGAAAATGGATGGATGGGAGGATGGATGGATGGATGGATGGATGGATGGATGGGAGGATGGATGGATAGATGAGAGGATGGATGGGAGGATGGGTGGATAGATGGATGGATGAGAGGATGTGTGGGTGGATGGATGGATGGATGGAT